GGCAGGAGTAAATAGAAAACTAGAGTTGTGGCGGCAAACCCTTGAGTCTAAAGGTTTTAAATTAAGCAGAACTAAAACCGAATACATGAAATATGACTTTGACGGGGCTGCACAGGAGAGAGATGTGAGTTTGGAAGGTCAAGTAGTGCCTAAGAATGACACCTTTCGTTATCTAGGATCGATGTTACATAGAGATGGAGATATTGATGCAGACGTTAGCCATAGAATCAAAGCAGGGTGGATCAAGTGGCGACAAGCTTCTGGCATTCTTTGTGACAAGAGGGTATCACAAAAGCTAAAAGGCAAGTTTTATAGAACGACGATTAGACCGACTATGTTGTATGGAGCAGAATGTTGGCCTACAAAGATTCATCATGTTCAACAACTGAATGTTGCAGAAATACGTATGTTGCGATGGATTTATGGTCACACAGGAATGGACCGAGTTAGGAATGATGATATACGTGACCGCCTAGGGGTAGCACCAATTAAAGAAAAGCTTGTCCAACATCGGTTGAGGTGGTTTGACCATGTCGAAAGGAGACCTTCAGAGACACCAGTGCATTGCAGAGTCCTAAGCCAAACTAATAATGTGAGGAGAGGTAGAGGTAGACCGAAATTGACATGGAGGAGGCAATAAAAAGAGATTTGAAAGCTTGGGATATACCTAGAGATCTATGTTTGAATAGGAGTGCTTGGAAAGCAGCTATTGATGTGCTTGAACCGTGACTAGGGACTCTTGGTGGGTTTCAACTCTAGCCTACCCCAACTTGTTTGGGACTGACAGGCTTTGTTGTTGTTGCTGTTGATGAAATTTAATGTAACCCCATACGTGTTTCACTCTCTGCTAGCATCTCATGTCTGATTGTCTGAACCTACATTGTAAATCCTTACTTGCTTACTGTTTTGTTTCAAAATTTTGACATTTGCTTTGCGTTATTTATAGCATTGGTTAACCTCTCAGTGCAACCATGCAGGTAACGAACAAAAACGAAATTCATATGATAAATAGGCAAGTACTCCCTCCATTACAAATTATAAGACATTTTGGCTTTTATAGATACATAACATTTTCTATGCAATTAGATATGCACCGTCTAGATACATAGTACAAGCAATGTATCTAGAAAAGCTAAAACGTCTTATAATTTGAAACGGAGGGAATAATAAGAAGCGCTTGGGAAAAATCGAGTTTATATTGACCAGTATCGCTATTATAGTCTTATTTAAATAATTAGATTTCTAAGACATTCGAATAGTTAAATATGAACGGATTTGCGTACCTCCTTCAGGTCCAATAATCAGAAGCCCACTTTGTTCAGTGCTGGATTTTGGCAGAACACTTAAAAGAGGCGGCGCTTCTGCTGATGCTAGGAAAGCAAGCTTTGACTGTGATACCTGATGGCAGAAAAGGCCAGCAGCAGATAAAGGTCAATACACGGACAGTCGAGAAATCATAGATGTAACTGTAGTTATAATTATTCTGAAAGAAGGTGTAGACACAACCAATTTCCATCTATGGTTACCCAAAAAAATCACACAAACCATGATATTATGTTACTTTCGCATCCAACTAATAATAACTGTTAATTTAAACAGAAATATTATTATCTTAACTGTTTTCTTAACAATGAACCATAGTTTGCAGAACATCATGGTTGCTCTAAAAAATGAATGTTACTTGACCACAGTAGCCAAGGAACTCTCAGTAGTGAGTGCATTAATTAGAGATTGCTCACAATATGTCATGCATGGTGCATGGATAACAAAAGCATAGGAGGTACTTACAACAGGTAGAAGGTGACTTATCTGAATTGGGGGCTTCAGCGACATTTCATGTATCCTCTGGCCTACAAAAGATATAAGAGTAATGAGATTAGTATGTTTTCAGTCACTAAGAAGGCAGGAGCAATTTAGTCTTTACAAAATCTTAGTCACTCACGATTGCATATGGAGAACATGCTAATAACATATTCAAATCGAGCATAAGCTAATTAATCAACACGCCAAGAACGGAGGTTAAACCCAAACTCCATACATTGTTTAACTGAAGCCAGCACAAGACGTTGCAGCCTGTCCACCCGATTTTCCGATATTGTGTGACATCTTTCTGTCAGGAGAGGAGTAACACTAGAAGCTCCTAGTTCCTAAATAAGAAAAGAAAACAGACTTAGAAGAAGACAATGAAGAAGAAGAACACCCAAATTGTAAGTAACATACAGTACATTTCTCTATAAGCCAATCAGCACGTCCGCCTTTCAGTGTCCCTGAGGATTAGAATAATAAAGTGATTACAGGATGGAATAAAAAAAACTATCATGGTTTACATAGTACATTTCACAAGACTCACCAAATGCAGCAAAGACATGCCATTGGATGCCTTGAGGAGCTATGATCCTAGCATCCTCTAATAACTCAACATCTGAGCCACTTTTGTCAACTTTATGTATGAATCCTTCAACTAAACCACCCGCCCCATCAAATAGTTCAACCCTATGAAAGTTGGTGAAAGAAATTACATGATATAACTGATAAGCTCAAGAAACATAAAACATAGGTTGAAAATGACATCTCAACAAAACTACAAGAACAGTTTCTTGTATGAACAGTAAGGTCTCCTAGGAAATGTACCATTATATTTATCTAATATCCATGATCTTACCAGTAAAAGCATTTGTTGGATGGACTATGGATGTTGAAAATGCCTTACAAGTTACAAGTTAAATCTGAAAACTTATAGGCTTCACATATCAAACTTCTTGGAGTACACCACAAAATTTACCAAGGCTGCCTGCTTAAGCAGCCACAGCAACTAATTTGCAAGCCATTGTACTTTCAAGACTAACTGTATATACACAGAGAATACAATAAATAAATAAAAAACTAAAGCTTAGAGAATCACACTTGAACTCAATAGCAACCAGTGCACCCATTGATTTAAGAGCTAATTAAATTCTCATGACGAAATCACATGGTCTAAGAAAGAAGGAAATCAGTGGTACAAACCTGTCGTTAATGCCAAGGCGCAAAACCCGTGTCATGTGCCAGAACTCGTCTCCTCGGATACGAATCACCTCACCCTGCAAGGTAATAACCATCTCAGTCAGACAGTCACAGGCACCACAGCTCAACAAAATGCCATGACAATGAGGCAAGGGAAAGTATACGACGTTTCATGCAACACATATCCACATCCAGGTGGGTGATATTTCTGTATAAAACACACAATCTAGAAGGATACTAGAAACGAAGACCACCACGCGCTCAATAGGAACGAGCACACTAGCACAGGGCACTCGACGAACTACGCGGCCGACGGCTCGCGCGGGGCTAAGAAACACGCTTACCTTCGACGAAGGGAGAGACGGGGCGTGAAACCTCGGCAGCCCACCACGAGCGCGGCTCGCCGCGCCGCTGTGCGCGCGCGCTGGGGCGGCCAGGAGCAGCCGCCGGGTCCGCGGCGGGGCTCCGCGCAGCAGCGCCGAGGAGGAGGAGGAGGAGAAGGCAGCGGACGACAGCATCTCCGCGTCTCCCGGCCTATTATCGCGCGGCGACGGCCGTCGGCCGAGCTAACGCCGGCGAGGCTCTCGTGCTGGTCCCGCAGCGGAGAATGGAGCGGCGGCGGTCTACTGGTCTTTCTCAGGATATCGGTCGGTGTAGCAGAGAGGGAGTTTTGCATTTTGGCCCGTACGCAGCCCGGCCCGATCGGTCCAGTTGCTGAGGAGATGAGAGCCACCTATTTTGCGGCGGAAATGATTTTCCAGCCCACCAGAGACAACCTTTTGCTAGCGAGTTCCATTGATCTTTGAGTAGTTTGAACTGCCGGGTGTGGTTGTAGCTACACCGTGAGTTGTCAATATACCGTGTAGCATTATTATTGCCAACAGGCCATAACATCCGTGAAAGTTTTTTTTTTGGAAAAATTAACATCGGTGAAAGTGAAACACAAGGTACTTTCATATATTTCATTTCATGTTTTATATTACCTACGTATCACTGCATAATTGCACTGCATGCAATACAAATAACACTGTATAAATACAAAGGAAAAGGAATAGTTTAGTGGCTCGATATTGACACCATCGCACCATGTACTACTGATGCACTGACACGTACGTACCATTACACAATGACATAAAAACACTCAGCGCTGCTCCCTCCACTCAGCACTTACGTACGATGGTCGTGCCACGGCACGCAGCGAGCGAGCAAGCGCACGGGCCTTCGAGAACGCCGTGCTCGGCACAGCAGTCAGGACTCGGGAGCTGTCATTGTTGGCATGAGTTGAGTGCCGGGACGCCGGTTGGATGGGACTCCAGCGCGGCTGCGCACTCACGGTCACAGGAGACCGTACCTCCCGGACAAACCAAGCGTGCTCTGCTCGCGTCGCGTGGGTCGACTCGCAATGTAATGTAATGCGGCGTCCGTCGGTTTTGTGATGCGATCCCTATGCAACCCAGGAGTCTGAGTGCTCGTTCGCTGCAACTTTCTTCTGCTGCCGCTGCAGCTATGTACTGTATGTAACAAAAATAAAACCTAGCGTCTATACTGTGCAAAAGCTTATGCAGCCGTCCTGCAGCCAAAAACAAGTACGTAGAAGCACTGTTGGTGTCGGTGAAGTGTACGTACTGATGGTGCGGCGCAGCCCATTCACGCGAACGAGTCGATCGAGTACGAAAGGAGCTCCGGTACCTTCAGCCTGTTCGTTTGGCTGTGGCATGTCGTAAATGATCGTAAATTTTCAGTCGGAACCGTATTTTTCTCTCACACAAATCAGGCAGTAGTAATTCTTCATGAACCAGCAACGAAACGAACCAGTCAACCGATCAAGCTGTTGCAAAAGATGCCTGGAGAGCTTTATCACCAATAGAGCAGCAGCAGTGCACAAGAACCATTTTTTAACCCTCAACTAAGTACTCCATATATCCGTACGGCTAGTAAGTACAGAGGTGGAACCCGCGATTTTGATTAAATGGAGCAGATAAATATTTATATAGGTACTAAATAACCCGCCCCCCACCACCCCACCCACCAGCACTTGGACGACGCATCCAAAACTTCCCTTTCGTGCCTCCAAGCAAACGAAACCCAAGCAGCAATGACCTAGCACAGTTCCCCTGAACAACCCATGAACAAACGAACAGTGGGAAAACTGCAACCACGGAACAGGAACGAGCATCGCATCGACGGACGGATGGATCAAGATCAAGCGACAGGCGGGTCAGATGATGGTTTACGTGGCTATAAGCTAGGCTGATGCTTTTTTTTATTGTGATTGAAAAACACCGTACCGTCGTGACTGATAAGGCCTTGTTTAGGTTACGAATTTTGGGAATTTGACTGCGGTAGCACTTTCGTTTTTATTTGGCAATTAGTGTTCAATCATGGACTAATTAGGCTCAAAACGTTCGTCTTGCAATTTAATCAAACTGTGTAATTAGTTTTTTTCATCTACATTTAATGTCATATACGTATCGCAAAATTCGATACGATGGTTACTATAGCAACAAGGCCTAATTCGGGCTGTTCAAGCCTCGAGGACGTCGGAGGACGAACATCTCGTCCCAATCTCGAAGCCCACTGGTGCTACACGCATTTCCCGGTGCCGATGACCAAAAAGCAGGCGGCAGCACCACCAGCGCCTCAGGCCTCATCACGCTAGTGCACATCACTCGCTCTACAGTGAGTCTACAGCACCCAACCAGCAGGGTCCCCTGTACTGTACACCGAATCATCAAAAGGGCTACGGCACGCAGCGGTGCTTACCGGTTGTCCGGCTGGTCGCCCGTCATGGATGCCGGATGGAGGAGGAGGCATCAGCCATTCACAGCCATCAGGGCTGGGCAGGCATGGATGGATGCAATGAACAACGCCTCCTCGCTGCAGTGCAGGCTGGGCGAGCGAATAGGGATGGCGCTTTTGCAGGCCGGCCGGCCGGTGGCAGTGGCAGCTGCGGCCAAAGGCGTGGGAAAAAGGCTGGTGCCGCCAGCCGCCTCCTGCGAACGTAGTATCATTGTATTCCTGCCGCGGCTGTCGCCGTCGTGACGAGCGCTGGAATACTGCTGCGCCGGGGGTAGAAAAACGATCAAATGATTCTTGGAGCAGGGTACGTACAGTACAACCATTGTGGTAGCACGTACCTTTTCCCTTCATGTGTACAGAGAAGTTTCTTGTTGCAACAGTATCAGATGTACATTTGTTCGGAGCTACTGGAGTTGCTAAAACTTACTCCGTATTCAGTACAGGTTTCTCTTCTCAAAGCTACTCCAGCATGAAGTATTTTCAGCTTTCTTCTTCTCAATGTGAATGCAATGTTATGTTTCTGAAAATGCTTTCTACAGATGAAGAGCACAGATTCTAGCACAGCTTTACCACAAGGTAGAACCTGGGCCAACGATTGCGAATGCTCAATTATTGGCAGACAGGAAACAGCATTCCAGATACAATTTTGAATCCAAATGTGAAGTCTCACGACCTGTTGGTTAATATAACCGAATCATACAACACTGGCACACAAACAGTATTGTAGTGTAGAGTATGAAATATGAACGACAGGCGATACTCGCATTAATCCTCAACAGACGACTATGATCGGATACTGGCTTTTATCAGATGATTATTCATCAACGGCGCACCAAAATCCATCCACACCACACATTACAGCGCTTTTCACGATCCAAGGAAGGTGAAAATTACAAAGCCAAGTTAAAAGGAAACAAAAGAAAGAAGAACTGAAGTGGTAAAAAAACAAGATCAGTCTCAAATGACAAACTACAAGGTCGTAAATGCTCCCTCACGCTTTGAGGATTACCATAGCCATATGTCCCTCTTCTATGGCTGCCGTCTTGATTGCAGTTTTTCATGGTCAGAACTCAGAAGCTCACACAAGGCGGATGCTCGGATGGCTTACTACAATTGAGCCGAGATCATCCCGCAGGTTGCTGATACCATCGTAGGCGCCGTGGCTCTCAATCCTAGGGCTGCTCCCTGTGCTGCTGGAGACTGATCCGAAGGCGGTCTTCTGTAGAACTCCCACAGGGGATGACTCCATCCCGTGGCTTGAATCCCAGTAGTCGGTTAGAAGGTTCAGAGGTGCCGACAGGTAATTTTTTGCTTCCACGTTACCGTTCTTGGTCAAAACCTCCCCCAACGGACCGCCCATCGAAGAATCGCGGAACATCGTCGCCCAGGTTGCTTCTAACTGGCTAACCTCATCTCTGTTCGCTGCAATGCTGAGACCAGTTGGACTATACTCGCGGCTCAGCTTAAGAGGTGATAGCATCAGCTTCTCATGGATGGGAGATGTGGAGGCCGATGATAGCTCAGACGATGCCATTGGAGCAGATATTGAGAGCTGTGATCTCTGAGCTTGCATGTCTTCTGCCTCGGGCCATGAAAGACCTCCCTGGGCAGGTGTCCTGGGCCAGTCCACAAAGTGCTGCAGGGAGGCTGAACTCTGGTGTTCATTCAGACTTTGTGAGCTGAGCAGATTCACATTCTCCAAGGAACTATGTGGAGAGCTCATCAGTGAATCTGATGAAACAAGGCCAAACTCTGGCCTTGAGCTGGTAACTTCAAAAGGATTATTTTGTTTGGAGAATGGAAACACGCTGCCTGTGTTTCCTGTAGTCATGGAAGTCAGCATCGAGAAATTGTCAGAGTCCTGCATGTTTTCACTCTCATTCTGTTTGTTCACCAGTTCCCTGCATGAATCATTCAAAGAGGGGATTAGTTAGCATGACTGAACTTTCAGTGCTTATGAACATATTCATGTTTGCAAATTCATGGAAACACATATAGACTGAAGACTGATATGTGAACAAGTACTTGGACAAGTATCATAATATCATATCGCATAAGTGCAGTGTCACACTGGAGCAGCTAGAAGAATGGAGTAGGAGAAAGCAAAAGCAGAAAGTTTGGCTAGCAAGAGCAAACACTAGACATACTACAGAATGGGTGTTAAAGCAATTCTTGCATAAATACTACAGAAGATAATACCTGTTATATTGCAGAGAGCAAGGATCAGTCGCACCCGTGGCATAGCTCTTCGCCGGCTGCTGGTGCTGATTGACAGTGAGGCCAGCAGCAGTAGCTCCGGCGCCGGCCAGAGCAGCAGGCTGGGTACCAGCAGCCGCCGCCACCGCGGACATGGCTTTCGCGGCATGGCCAGGCTGGCCTTCCACATGCTTTCTTGAACGATGGCGTCCCCGGTTCATGTGTCGCTCGCAGTACTTCTGCTCGGCGACCGCGTCCCTGGAGCACCGCCATTTCTTGCCGTCCGTCCGGCGGCACCGCCCGGGCTCCAGATCCGCATTGCCGGAGTAGCCCAGCTGGAAAGAGCCCCACCCCACTGTGCCAACACGCAACAACAGCGCCAATCAAGATCCGGAAAAGAAATAATCGACACGGCTTTTATCATATCGATGTGCATGATGGAACTGAAGCTAGCCCAAAAGGCACTCTCGGTCGCTTTGCTTTTTCGATCTCCTCTCTCTCTCTCTTTCTTGGCTTACATGTGCTCGTGCCGAAGTAGGAAGGCGGGTAGGGAGACGATGCGAGGCTCCTCCTGATGGGGATGAGGAGGCTGTGAGGTATGGGGCTGTTCGCAGCCAGGTACTTGTAGATCAGGACCTGGTGCTCCAGCTCCATCCACTGGGACGGCGTGAAGGGGCCCCTCACCCTGGCCATTGCCCCCTGCATGCTGGTGCTCAAGCTCACCGAGCTCAATCCTGCGGGGAGCAAGCAGGCAGGCATAGTTAGGAGATGAGCAGCAGAGCAGTGAAAGCCAACAAGACACAGCCAAAAACATGTACTGCTCGCTTCATAGAGATGACCACCGAGATGCATGCGTTCCCTAAACACAATCCTAGGGCAGGATAGAAGGCAAGCAAAAAGACACAAAAACCTGGAACAGAGTGCTAGCTGCAAGGATCAGAGACATGATAAGCAGCACAGATTCATAGGTGATGTCCATAAAAAGCGGCCCCAAGATCACACACCGTTGGGGCCCTACAGTAAGCTTGAATCGCGAGGCTCCATTGTATTCTCGAGACTTTCTCGCATGCATTCATGCTCTTTTAGCTGTTTCTCATTTTTAAGTTTCTGAGTGAGAAAGGAGTGGAGGTATAGAGCGAGGGAGATCACGCCATTATTTTTTCATTCTTCCTCTAATAAGCACTAGTAGTATTATTAGCAGACGGCATGACAAAAAGGAATCACACGATCGCGCCGTTGAGGACAAAGAAAAGCGTTGGTGGATGTCAGCAAAAAGAAGTGCAAACTTATGTCGATACATATCACGAATGATTCAATAAAGCTTTTTAAAATAGTATTTAAATCATTTCTTTTTCCGGAGGTGAAAGAACTTTTACAGTCGCCACTGATCTAATCTAATCAAAGCAATCCACAAAACGAAAAGAGAGAAAAACCCACAAAGATCATTGGCAGCTTAAAAGAGTCAACTGATGATCATAAAAACCCCATGAATCTAGACTGGAAGTATACTAAATAACTGAAGCTAGAAGAAGACAGAGTAGAAGAAACGGAAGGGGGCACAAATCAGCTCCATTTCCGGTATGAACAACGGAGAAAGCTAAAGGATAGACACACACAAGTAATAAACAAGTAAAAATAAATCTGTAGCTACCAGCCCAAGTGCAAAGAGAGAAAGCGAGGTGATTCGAATCGAAAAGCAATAATACTCGAAAAGAAGTGGATAGCAAGCTTTTCAATCACCAAATCCAATCAACAAGCAACGGAAAAGGAAGCTTTGCAGCAGCACCACCGCCACAACCACCGGTACGTCGCCGTGCTCACCTGAGCAAGAGGCCGGGGTTCCGTAGTACAGCGGGTAGTACATCGGCATCGCCCCACCATCAACCGCCACAGCCGCGGCAGCCGCGGCGTTGGAGGCGCACGAGGACGCGGCGGCGGCGGCGGACGAGAAGCTGAGCATCTGCTCCCCGCCGTGGCCGGGGCTGCACGAGCCCAGCAGGAACGGCGCCGCCGCCTTGGCAGCCTCCACCACGTCCCCGGCGACGACGGACGCTGTAGTCCTGGCCTGCTTGGCCCTGCCGCCGCTGCCCCAGCCGTGGTCCTCTCCCCCCGCCGCCGCATTGCCCCGCCCGTGCTTGAGCAGCCTGCTGCTAGATCCGCCGCCGAGCAGGCCGAGCTCCGAGGCGCCGCCGCCGCCCGCGTCCATCACCACCCCGCCCATGAGGTCCATGGCACCCCGCCGCCCGCTCGCCGTGCTCGCTCCTCCGCGCTAGTGCTGCTCGCGTCCATGCGGCGCGGGATGGGAAGCGGCGGTGGAGTGGAGCGGAGGCGGCATTGCTCGAGTTGTGCTGGTAGCTAGCTAGCGGACTAGCTGCTGGTGAGTGTGTGTGCGTGCGCAGCTGCGCGCGGTGCTCGGTTGGTGCTTGGCCTCGCCTGCGTTGGCTTGGCTTTTACGGGGGAGGGAGGGGTGGTTGCGGCCTGCGCTCGGGAAACCAGGCTGGTTTTTCTTTTGGAGGCAGACACGGGGCCACGGGGGACAGAGAGAAAGGGAGGAGGGGAGGCGCAGTAAAGACAGCTAGCTATAGGGAGCGGGGGAGGATCAATAGGTAGCGGTGAAAATTTTAGAGAATTGATGGTGGGCAGAGGAGAGGAGAGGAGAGGCGGTAACAAATGGCGGATGGATCGGTGGTCGCCTGTTCTTGCCGCTGCGGTGAGAAAAATAGGCTTTGATGCCGATATGATATTTACCGTTTTGGCAAGGGGGGCATATCTTTGCAGGGTAAAGTTGCGAGAAATGTTACCACACGAGATTTAAGGGGAGGGAGATAGAGAGAGATACCCGAAAGATGGCATCTTGTGATGGTACATGTTAGATGGGGACGTTATTTCCTGTTTCCATCGTTGGGACAGTAGGTTGGAAGGTGATGTATACACACCATCAAGTAAATCCAGTGTCTCTTTTGTGTTTGTGGTGTGTGTGATCCTTCTCCTCATCTCCTGTCACTCGTACTACCACAAAGTTTTCGTTGGATTGAATGATCCCAAACCATGTTGCCCATATACTGGGGCATCGTTACTGTAGAAGGCAACCCTCAGGGCACTGCTCACACAGTGTGGGGATTTCTCGGTAGAGTCAGTGATGCTGCCTGCGGCTGCCTACAGTCACAGGGACACTACTGCTAGATCAGCAGTTAGGCGTGGTGATGACACGACGCGATCTATAGCCTTTGCGAATTATAGGCGTTAGATTCGGGCTCCGATAGGTGTTAGGTGAAGTCCGGACCCAGCCGCTTGCGGTTGGAGATTAGGTCGCGAGTCGTAGGACACGCAGTTATATTGCAATCTTTTTTAATTTGTGCGTGTATCGTGCAACACGCGGCAGGGATTGGAGTTGCATGAGCTCCACATCAGCTCGAAATCTCATGGATGGATAAATTCATGTACAGTACGTACGTATGTAAGTTCACGTGTCAAGAACAATCTGGCTGGAGCACGAGAATGTGAGCTCGTGCGCCCCAACAACAGGACGGGATACTAGGGCGTAGTACGTGAGAAGACGATCGATCGTGCAAAAACGCTACGGTGGGAGGAGTAGGCTGGTGGATAGGGCTGGTAGGTGGTTCACATTTGCCGGGCTGCCCGGCCTACTAGTCCGTGCCCGTAGGAGCCGTAGCCCAGGACAGGCGGGCATGTGCGTCGCACGTGGCGTCGATGCATCGAGCGTAACCGATCGAACCGACTCGGCTCCAGCCTCCAAGGTGTGATCCATGCACTTCTCAATCTCGTCAAGGCACCTCCGCTTCCGTTCGGTCCCAATCCGGCCGGCCTGTGGAGCGTTCCAAATTCCAAATAAAGCGAGACCGGGCCGGGCGTCGTCGTCCCTCCCGTCGGCCGGCCGCTTGCTTCCATTTCCTCAAGCTCCTCCGCCCTCCGGTCGATGTGGTTACTACTCTACATGGATGCCACTTTACTACTAGTAGTGCGTAGTAGACTACACGTATGTTAATCCTTGGGCCGTCCGGCCGAGCCGTGGCGGTGGCCTGGGCTACCCTGTGAGTTTTTTACCTGGGAGTAAATGGCATCGCATCGGGCAACTTGCCTATTATTACGCGGGGGAATGTCTCTGCCTGACCAGTAATAAGTGATGATGCTCTTTACGGGGTCAACTCTGGATCACCACCCAACGGTACTTATCCAGCAAGCAGTTACCAAAAGTTAGCGGATTAAACTTTTTTTTTTCTACTCTCACACGCTTCGGCAGTTTTCACTCCAGATCTCCAGCAGGCCTTCAGATTACTTCAATCATCAACTCTTCCAGCCGCTGGACAATCAATTCATTAACAGGCCAGGGGATTTCCTCGTCAGTAACAATAACGCAGCTTATCTTCTGTTCCTGCGTGGTGAAAATGACGAAACGACCTAAAAATCTCGCCACATGACATAATCATAGCGCTTGGCATAAACAACACTGCGGACGGGGCGGTCGGGCGCTATGATCCAAAGTAAATACTCGTGCACACACACACGCCAGCTGTTCCGCCTCCCTCTCTCTCTCTCTCTCTCCTCCCAAGCTACTAGTCCCACCATCTCATCTCATCTCACGCGACGATAAAAAGAAAAGGAGGGGGAAAAACGGAATCAAAATCAATCCGCACGCTTTGTTTAGGGCCTCCTCGATGTACTTGCCGCATTAGAAAAGCCGTCTGGATGGTCCACAGGGGGGGGGGGGTGTTAATGTTAATGGCCGATTAGGCTCTCGCAAACGGGCTTTGTTTGTCTCGGAGCTCTTTTTTAGGGGCGGTCGTGATCTCGGTCAAAGAGGCGCTCAGATTCCAGCGAGGGGGGCCACCTTGGCTATATTATTATGGCGATCTGATGCGTGGGGCTGTACTATTTTAGATATAACTTTAAGGTTACGCATAAATAAACTCACAGGGTTTTTATATATAGGACGATATAAATATGGTCCATTCCTTTCCGCGAGACAAGTAGGAGAGGTGGTACTTCATTCTTTTCCTTCTTTGATTTATTGACACGGGAGAGTTGGCAAAGAAACTTGGGGGCATTTGCTCTGTTTTCTTCTACCTTTATTCACACGGCACGAACGACCAAAGGGACATGCATATTTGATCTCTCGTAGAGGCGAACAAAAAGTGTACTAGCATGGAAGTGTTTTTCTCTCAGACAAGATGGTTCGAGACCTAGACACACGTTGTTTGTCCATCGATTTTAGGAGTGCACGCACATGTGTTTGTTCGGTGTGTGTGGTCCTCTCCACGAAGTACACGTCCAACCACTCCAGAAAAAGGAATAATTACCGTGACTCCTTTTTGGTGAGCTTGGTGGATAGACACTCTTTTGTAACCTACGCGTCAATTATTGAGACACAGTTAAAAATAATCTAAATCAACACCACATATGTTATTATCGAAAATAATCTAAAGTAACCTTTTAAGTTTGTATGTCCAAATTACTACATTCACAACTTTTTTTGTTAAAAATTATTAACCTAAAAAATCCTTAAATCTTCATATATATTAATATAGAAAAAACTAACTCAATGTAAGACATCATTTCTATCGCCATTCACCATGCATTCAGGCCACACAAACATGTCCGCGGGAATTGATGATCATATCTGTTTCATATGCTAGCGTATAGCTCGAACTAAAGGTTTCAGCTGAACGCATGGGTGCCGTGCGAAAAGGGAAAAAAAAAAGCTATGAATTTAAATAAAAGATATAAGAGTCAGTTATATTACATCCGAACGATGTTAGAAAAATATCTAGGTATTGTGCTAGAATAGGAACAGATTATAAATAGCAAAGATAAACAATTATGGTTAGAAATTTTGAAAGAGATGATTGTTTGAAATTTACCAAAATTACTAACACAAGGCGGATATACTTATACAAAACGGAGGTTATTCGTTGTGGACTTGTGGGGTTTTTTTTCGTTTTTGCTTAATTATTAAGATGAGTTCCCCACTTGGTTAGCTGTATCCACCATACTTGTACTCATCCTAATTCTGATCTGGTTGACATTTTGCCCTTTTGAGACCAAGGGCATACTACTCAGGTATACACAACTTGCTCTTCTTTAATTCGTAGGATTAATCGGTCTGTGTCAAACCTTTCGGGCCGCTACCAGCTCACCCTGCGTAGATCTCGATTGCTTGATACAGCACGTACGTTTCGATCAGAAAGGAAATCTAAGCGTAGCAATGACTAAAAATCGCATCTACGGAGTACCTTGGAGCCACGGAGGCCGTCGCGCGATCGAGACTCGACTCGAGAGGGAGATCCAGCGGCCGGAAAGGAATAGCATCACTGTGCCATTCTCACGCGCGGCATGACCAGGTCCTGCCTGCACAAGCAAGTACCTGCGTGTGCATGGACCCCTACATCACCCTTTGCCCCCCGGCCCTCTGCGTGGAGACGATCCACAGATCTCACTCATGCATCTTCCGGAGGGTCAGCCGGGCCAGCCAGCCACCCGCCCAATTATGCACTCTTTGCCATTGGAAACCCTTTTTCCGTTCTGCGGTCCCTCTTAAGCCTTTTCTTCAGCAACAGCAAACAACACCTCGCATGCTCACTTTGCCCCGTTCGTTTCGCTGAAAAAACAAGCCGAAACACTGTTCTGGCTGATTTATTGTGAGAAAAAATACTGTTCCGACTGAAAAAACAAGCTGAAAAATACGGATTATAAAACAAACGAACAAAGCCAAAGGTCCCGTTGAACAATACAGTGCTCCTACATGATACTTAGGTCGTCGTAGCGGTAAAAAAAATAAGAAGAAAGAAAGCAAGTGGACCTTGCTGGCAAAATGAGTGGACAAGGTCCCGGCCGGTGGCCTGCTGGGGTTTACTCGATCACCGTACGTCATGTGGACGAACACTGTAACGGCCGGGAAGCAAGATGCACACATGCAGTGGAGGCCTAGAAGAGGGGGTCCTAGTCCTTGCTCCCGGCCGATCGACGCATAGCATAACATGCATGCTTCTTTAAATAAGGGCCAGGTTAGATCGTCAAATGGTGGTTGGTAATTACTACTCCCGGGTGCTACCGTCGTCCTACACACCATCTCGCCCTGTGTTGTTTGTACGTCCAGGATCATGCACAGGGCAGCTCCGCCGGCGCCCCACCTGCTGCTTGCACGCCGAGAGAGAGAGAGAGAGAGTAAGCGAGGATGGTTGTTGCCGATAGCATGGTACATTCATAGGCGTGTCCCCGATCCGGCAACCGGCATGTTAACTTTGTACTAGTACTAGAGCCTAATAACTCCTTGCAACGACTCGGTGGACCGGTTGATCGAGAGTGGCAGTATGACGATGATGTGCTAAGTGCTACGGACTCCGGAACGCCGAGACGCAAACAAAAACGGACGTTCAATCTCGCTCTCATCTGTCGTGCATTCATCGTGCCAAACTTTCCCGCCGGCCAGGGCCAAGGCGACAAGGTTTACCGTGCGCACCACTTGCGAGTTGCGAAGCTTGCCTCCCGCATGCATGGTCCAGCACTGCGCATGAACCGGGCACCACAAGCGCGCGCGGACGACGACCGGAGACCGACGATCATCGGTGCCCCGCACTGCCGGGGGCTTCCCTTCCCGAGTTCCCGCTTCCCGGGCGTACGGTTTGGGGACGCCCAACGGCCCAAGACGTATTCCCCTCCGCGCCCATTCGCCGGCTCGGCTGCCTGCGCCCTGCGCGGGATCGGTCGTGCGATCTTCACACGCGAGGCAGCGTTGGCGTACGGCCCGGATGACGAAGCATTTGCTTCGGTAGGCCGCGCGGGCGGGCGGCCGCCGCAGCCCGCAGGAACAGGAGCATAGGACGCGTCGAGTCACACTCACACGTCGTCGCGGGAGGCGGACGCGGACGCGTCTCGGCTCCTCCGCCTGCCCCACGCTGCGGCCTGCACCGTTCACCCGCCTGTTCACTTATTATAAGTCATACTTTTTCCATCAACAAATAATATTTTGTTTTCATAATAAATCAGTCACTAGTATTTTCTATCAACTAAGCGAACAGGTCACACATCTCCCTCCATCTTCAGAAGCAATCACGCAAACACTAGCTAGTCCACAGCCGCCACATGGCCACATACCACAATACGGAGTACCAGTAGTATACTCCATTTCGATTTCTATTCCATTTTTATATGGCGTTCGGCTATACTACTTCCCGCTTATTTCAGCTTATTTCAACTTATTTTCTCTCACATAATACTATTTAACCATTCAAAATAATCTAAAATCCACTATTCCACCCACCAGTCCTATACTACTAGCACTACGAGTACTTGTATAGGCCTGCCTACCGATGTTACAAGCAGGAGTACTAGTAGCTAGCAGCTGCTGCCTCTATGGGCTACTCCATCCTACGAGACTCCATCCTACGAGTAGAGTACCTGGCGAGATCCATAACTGCACGTACGTGGTCGGAGGGTCTTGTACTGTTTTTTTTAGGAGGTCTTGTACTGTTGGTAGCATCTGCTCCTGGCAGTGACAGTGTGTTAGGCTACGCCAGCTTGGCGAGCTTTTAGCACAATTGCACGGGCCATGCCTCCCTTTCTGTTTCAGCCACCGTACGTACTCCATCAGTTCATAAAAAAAAAGTCTAAGCACTTGTCAAACTTTCTTAAATTTAACGACATTCATATTTTAAAATAAGTTTATTATAAAATATATTAAAAGATCTATCAATAATATTAATTATGTATCATAAATATTAATATTTTATTATATATATTTAGTCAATGTTAAAAATAGTTGACTTTTTAAGAAGCAAAAAATGACTCTTTTGGTGGGAGGGACGAAGGTACTCCGTGAGAGCAGGAGGCACTGTAGTGAGATCGTGTACTTGTATTATAGCCATCAAAGGATTCAAGCGTAGATGATACAATGGTATTATACATATTCCGAAAGATATAGGAAAACATGCTCCCTCCGTCCGATGACGCTTTTGACTTTTTGACATAATGACTGTCATCTAGAAAAAAATGATGGCGAATAGGCTTAGGCATAATTGACCGAAGACCAAACCAACTAACCGAGACTGAAACCGAAGTTAACGATATCAATTTTTTCGGTCACTAGTTCGGTCCGGAGTCCATACTACCGATTATTTTTTTTACGATTAGTTCGGTTACATGCCTCGGGTAACCCAACATTTGGATTTTGTTGACATGATGTGTACTTTATTTAGACTATTACTAGTGATGTAATATTTGTTTTTTGGTATGTATCAACTATCACTCTTATATCACATTGTTTGATGTATGTATTGTATTGCCATTTTTGCCTTAAATTAGAGAATGATGCTAAAATTTGCTACAAATAATGCTACTTAGTGGTTGTTTTGTCTAGTCTGGTTCATTCTGTCATGATCAAGACCGAATTTTTAAACTAATCGACCGGTTTCTATGTTTAGATGACTGAACTTCCAAAATAACAGAAGAACCGGTCGTTTATGTTCGGTCAGACCGAACGCCCACCCCTGCCGGCGAAGTAGATAGCTGCAGCAGATGCTCCACACGCTAGATAAAAATTGAGATACCGCCGGATGGGGAAAATTAACAATCTTTAAATGGTAGATGATAGATTAGCTATGAAGTGCTTCAAAAGCTATATAAAAGTAAAAAAATACAAGGAAAGCTATTTTATTCAGTGATCTTCTATAAAATATAAATATTTCTACATTATGTGTGGAAGCATTTAGTTCAAAAAATAATATATGTATAAATAATCAAATACATGTACAAGTTCTTGAAGAACATATCTCACGCCCGTTAAATCATTCAACATATACACGACTATAAACGTCACTGATATTCATTTAACATTCAAGTGTTCAATAATTTTCAATGGTTTATTTCACCATTTATTTCATCACCGACATAGATTATAGTGATGTAGACTAAAGAATAAATATTTTTTCTTGGTTAGGAACAGTGGTGCTAAAAGTATATTGTGACTAAGCCCAATAACAATGATTATAGCGAAGTTAAAGCACCACTAACAGTAATAACAAAATAATTGGTAATATCATAGTAGCACTAAACCATAATAAACTTCCCTTTTCAGGAAACATTCATAGGAAGTTATATAGTTATACTCGTAACTATTGAGCAATGCATTTTGAGTAGCAAAATTTATCACTACAACTTTTTATTATAACCTTTTATTATAACTTTTTTCTCGAATACGCAAGAGTGTTGCATATCATTGCATTAAGAAGGAAAAGGTATGCATCTACGAGAGACCAGCCCAGGACCGGTTGAAGAAAGAAACTAAGATTACAATCAAAACTCGACGGGTTACCCCCCGAAGCTAAACGCCTTAGGTTGATAGCTCCCGCCTTGACCCATTGATCCGCTTCCGCCTTGATGATGCTTAGAAGATCGGGTACTATGGTCGAGGCCTCCCTGAAGCATCGGGTGTTTCTCTCCTTCCATAGTTGCCAGCAGGTCAGCGCAACTAGGGAGTCCATGCCCTTCCTCTGTTGGCCCTGCCAGCTTCTTCGCATGCTCCTCCACCAGGCTAGCAGGGAACCGGCCATCGGTGGCAATGGCCCCCCGAGGGTGCGGCATATGTTGAACCACAACTCTCGTGCGTAAGGGCAACTGCATAGGATGTGGTCGATTGTCTCCGGAGCCTGATCACAGAGATAGCACTCTTCTTTAGCCTCCAACCCATGCCTTGTGCGTCGATTGGCGTCGCTTGAACTTAATCCATAGGAAGATCTTCACTCTCAGTGGCGCTCATGTCTTCCATATGAGCGAATGTCCCCAAAATGTAATGGAGCCTGCGTGCAGCATCTTGTAAGCAGACTTGGCGCTGTACTTGCCATCGGGCGTCCACCTCCACGCCGTCTTGTCCGCCGGATCACTGAAAACCACGTTGGCGGTAGCTTCCTAGACATCTAGGTACTCTGCAATTGCTGCGAAGGTCATGCTTCCCCTGATCCCTTGCGTCCACTGCCTATCTGTGATTTCTTGGCGAACGGTGAGCCTTGATCTTGTTCTCCTTCGAATCAGCTGCACCAAGTTTGGAGTGATGTCCGACGGCGCTGAACCCTGGAGCCACCTGTCGTCCTAGAATAGCGCCACTGTGCCCTCACCCGGGATCGTGAACATGGATGCTCAGAAGAACTCTCTGACCTATAGTTCTGTGCTGATCGACAGCTCGCTCCAAGCGCGCGAGTCATCGGTCTTTTGTAGCCATAACCGGTGAGTCTGCAGTGCGTAGCCAGTCAACCTGAGATCGGTGATCCCGAGTCCTCCCAATTCCGTCGGCCTACAAATCGTGTCCCAGGCCACCATGCATTTTCCACGCACCGAAGTGTCGCCACCAGCCCACAGGAACTTCCTGCATATGGCGTCGATCTCCTTCCTCGCCCAAGGTGGAAGGTTGTCTACCATCATCGAATAGATCGTCATGGCTCGGAGAACCGACTTGATCCACACCAGTCTCTCGCTCCTGGCCATAAGTGATCCATGACAGGGTGGGAGCGTCCTTGCTGCTGCCTCAACGATTGAATGGACTTCCACCTTGGTAGCCTTCTTGGTGCTTAGTTGAAGCCCCAAGTAACGGATTGGGAATTTTATCAATAACTTATGATGACAACTTCTCTATATGAGCTTCGTAGCCCAACTTTTGTTCATATAACTACTATAGTGAGCAAACTTTATCATAGATTCATAGCAATTTCTTAACATCACTTTCCTAGCGCAAATTTTCTATGATATACTCTTTTATTAATGACATAACTTATATACACACGTCTTTTGGGGAAAAAAAGATCATATGCAACCTATTCAACACAATTTTTAACATGATCTGTTCCAAATTAACAAACTTCGCCCTAAAAATGTGTTCAAAGTATATATTTAATTAAATTTATAAAACTTTGACTTGATAGGTGTTTTTAGAGCGAATGCAGTACTTCACGGTAAACAGGGCAAAAACGCAGTAGCGGTAAGGCTAGGCATGTGAATTTTAATGATCTTTTTTCGTACTCCCACCATCTGAATTCCGCAGCAGTACCAGTACAGGAGTATACTAGGAATGTGAATTTCGAGAAAAATCTACAAAATCTCAATCGGCGACGAGACATCGGAGATGTGATTGGGACGGACGGGGCCGGCTTCCTCGTGGCCGACATGAATAAAGCGCCCTGCCAGCCCGCTGGGCTCGCCACAGCCCCAACGTCAAGTCCCATCCGCGGACACGCCTACACGCCGCTCCGCACCGCACAAGCCGCACACAGGCGCGAGGTGGATGGATTGGTCCCTGACTGCCTTATTGGCCAGTGGCTGGCATCTCCGTCTCGTCGGGCTGGACGCCTGGACGGCTGGTCATGGCCAAAATGACTATTGTACCCCTTCGACCGTGCCCAGTTACTCTACCTCCGGGCCCTTGCCGGCTCTCTGATCCGTCTGGTACCCTGGTTGGCCTTGTTCGTTCATTAAAAGGTGAGAGGTCCCGACTCTGCCCCTCGCAATCTCGGCTGATAGCCATCATCAACGAAGAAATACGGATCCTACATACGCTAGGCCTCTGTGTGCGCAACCATAGCTAAGCTAGTTACACCATTGACCTTTGGCCTGTTCGTTTCGCCTAAAATGATCGTGGATTATTTATTTCTGACTAGTTTGATGTGAGAAAAAAAATACTATTTCAGCTTATAATTCACGATCGTATAAGCCCAGCTGAAGGAGCTACTTGTTGGCTTACATATGCCGTGACGGCCCATCCTTTCCAGCATGATGATATGCAGTGTAGTAGTAAATGCTTTCTTCATTTCTCGGCTGATCCTTTTTGCGCTTCCGCGACGTGCGTGAACTCGCTCGGCGTCGGCGAACATCACACGGCTCCCCGCGCGGCGACGGCAGCCGACGCCGCCGGTCCAGCCAGACAGCAAGCGACACGCGCTGGCACGGCCACGCAGCCAGGCGCGTCGCGCTGCGTGCGGCGTGCGTACGTGACGCCATATATATATATATATATATATATATATATATATATATATATATATATATATATATATATATCCACCGAGACGGTCAGACCCGCCGGATCCCGGCCGCGTTTACGTCGGCGGGCCTTGGCCCTTGGTCGGGGGCTCGGCGGTGCCTGGCAGATCCATGGCCGCGGCCGCGGCCGCGCGACGCGTGTTCGCTGCATGCGCGCGCGCGCGCACACGGCCGTCCCCGTCCGGGTACGGGACTGGAGCGAGTCCCGATGCGATAGGCGTTGGCGTGGCGTGGGTAGGAAACCGCTGGCCTCAGGCTGTGGCTGTCCTGTTCTTGTTCATCGCTTCAATGCGGCGCGTTATGGTACGGTTGGCTGGTTGCCAACTTGCACCTGTTCGCTGTACCGCGCGCTGAGCTTATCCCTATGGTATAGCGCGTGTTTAGCTGCTACCCAAAATAATATCCGTCTCGACTTATCGAATCTTGCGATACGCGCATTAAATCATTAAACGAATAGGTTGGGCGCCGGTGCCGGTGTCGCCATGGTACCATGCATCGCAATTCACATAGGGGAACGGACGGACGGACGGACGGACCCACCCCGGCTCGCATCTGCGTCGGAAAGCGGCGACACCGGTACGTGGGGGCGACGAGCTCGATCTCGATCGACCGGGGTCAAAGCTCCGTAATGTAAACGGCAAGCGTGCCAAGTTTGTTTGGTGGCGTAGTACGTCCGTCCGTGTCCCGTGTCCGTGTGTGTGGAAGCGAGAACTTTTGGCCGCGGCCGGGGCCTGCGTCCAAGGCACGCATGCACGCGGCGCGACCGCCACCGGCAAGTTGCAATAACGCCGTGATCATTGGTTTGCCGGAGAAATTCCAAACGAACGAACGTACGCCCATCTCCCATGACTTGATGTTTCCTATTCAGGAGTGTAGGCGTCGGCCAGAAGCGACCCTTTGACGTCTATATCTATGTCCGGTTCGTTTAGACTTGTTTAACTTATAAATTATACTTTTTTTTTTGTTAACGAATAATATTTTTCTCTTATATCAAATCAGTCAATGATATTTTTTAGTCATGTCTTGTTAGTCAAACAAGCTCAAACAAACAGGACGGTAGTCAAATCTGCATTGCCATTTGCCGATAAAAATATACTCCTATTACGTACAGTACCCCGCCGCGACACCGACAGTAAACGGTACTGCAGCGAGAGTGTACATGTACAGTTTCGCCACGCATGGCGCATGGCACTCATATTTTTTTACGGAAACGGAATAGAGTTTAAGGCTTATGTTTAGATTGGAGGTTAGAAATTAGTTAGTCAGATGTGCGTAGTATTTTCGTTTGCCGATAATTATTATCCAATTATGGCCAACTAGCCGCGACAAAACATTAAACGGTACTTTACAATCAAACCGTAATTAATTGTTACTTTTTGCCTACATTTAATACTTTATGGCGCATGGCAAAGATTTAATGTGGTGGAGACCGCCGCCCAAACTTGGAATCTAAATAGAGCCTAAATTTCCTCAATTGCATACACACACGCCCTCGACACTGGAGCCTGGAGCCGCCCGGCCCGGGTGTAGCTCCCTCTGCGTTTGGCCCCTTGCGTCTCGATCAGGCTGGCACGTGCGTCCGGTCCGGGCGACAACATTCTGATGGGCGGGAGTAGTTTACACGCGACCAGCGAAGAGAAGCGTGCCGCTAATTTGCTCGTAATAAGCGCTGCTTACTACTCTACGGACTACGGCTCGTGTGAAAGGCTGCGCAGCGCGAAGTGGCGGTGAGCGCGGCCACGCGCCTCGGGTTTCCTGCGCGCGTCGTCGTCGTCGTGGCTTGCAAACCACGCCGCCCTCGCCTCGCAGTCTCGCAGTCGCAGGCAGACCGCAGCGCTCCTAGTCCTAGCCGCAAGCGTCTTGGGCTCGCCACGGCGTTTGGATGGATCGGCGGTTAGCTTAATCCGACACCGAAACCTACGTCCTCCTCTCCATCATTCCGATGGCGCTGGCGCACGCGCGGCCCCATGCACATGTCCGCGCCTTTTGTATACTCCCTCAGTGATTTCCATGCCACAAGTCTAAATTTATTTATAAAAAATAAGTGTAATATTTTTATCTTCAAATAAATTTATTAAAAAACTAGATTTAAAGATCTTTTCAATAATATTAATTATTTACTATAAATATTAATATTTTTAATATGTATTTTATCAAAGTTATTCCTCACAAACGAAAACCACATATATTTGGAACGGAGGGAGTACCTCCCACTACCGCACCCGCACGCATGCATGGGAACCCGCCCACCCGGGTTTCTCCTCTCCGCGCAGCTGGGACCTGCTCAGAGTACGTACGTGTAGATACACCCGCCCGGGACCTGCTCAGTGCAGTGTCTCTACAACTACAGAGATGGCGGATGTGTTACTTAAGGCACGTACCAACATTTGTCCGCAGCAATTACTCCTGCATAAGTACCCAATGCAAGTGCCAAATGGGCTTTACTGAGCTGCTGAGCTGAGCTGCTGCTTAAGGCACGTACCCAATGCAAGTGCCAAATGTGTTACTTAAGGCACGTACCAAAGTACTGACTGAGCTGCTGCTGCTGCAGGAGCTGGCAAGGGAGGGGGCTGGGACTGAGAAGATGACGAGAGAGAGAGAGATGCCCTGCACCGCTGGTCCGCTGCACGTACAGAAAGGCGCTTGGAAGGGGCGCGTTTAGTGTGCAAAGTTTGCGTAGTGCCAAGTTTTCTACCGTATCATTTCATTTGTATTTAGTAATAATTGTCCAATCGTTTTAATTTAATTAGTATTTCTCAAAATGTTTGTTTTCTTTTTGTATAGTGTCAACTTAAAGTTTGGGAGGATCTTAGTTTTTAATTTGGCCTACTTTTTTATTCCACTCACTATGCCTTGTTTAGATCCCATCAAATTTTAAGATGTTTCACGAAAATTTTTAGATTTGTGCATAAATATAGTTAATTAGTTGGTTGTAAATCACGAGAATCTTTTGAGGATCTAAACAAGGGCTAATAAAATGGCCCTAGCGTGTCTTTTCTGCGACTCACTAGTAAAAATTCGCTAGCTAGGCACAAGGCATGGGTCTCCTCGATCTAGCTTGTACGGTGACACTGTGATCGCCTGTGCTGTCTTTGGCATGCATGGTCCGCATGCATAGCATAGTTCTACTATATACTATAATTATAAGAGATATTAATATGGTTCCGTGGGATACTATCCTTTGGGTCCTGCAGTGTTTGGATTAATGACGAACTTACGATTGATATGCCCAAACACGCCAGTGACACATGCATATACAGTACCATTGATTGATATGTAGATGTAGCCTGTGGAGTCGTGGACCCATATATCAGTGACACATTGGTGAAGTACGTACCAGCAAACAGAATGTCAAGTTTTGAAATTACCCTGTGATTGTTAATTAAGTGAGAAACCGGATGGAG